CCCACGTCCTGTTGCAGCTCCTCGTCCAGTGGAAGGAGCTGCATAAATGCTCCCCGGGTGCATCTCCCCGCACTGACGTTGAACTGCAGCCCAAACATGGCATTCAGCAGGGTTGACTTCCCTGTGCTCTGGATGCCGAGCACGGAGAGAACAAACACTCGTTTGTCCCCCAGCCTCTCAATTAGGCTGTCAAAGATTGCTCCCACCCAGCGCAGAGGGAGGTAAGAAGCATCCCCATCCATCAGCTCCACAGGATACCCCGAAACCATCAGATCTGCTGCAATTTGGGGCAGTTTGACAACATGCTTTGAGCTCATTAATGGGAGAGCTTCATAAATCTGCCCTACGTCTCTCAAAAGATGCTCAAGGCCAATGGATGAATCTTGGATTTCTTCAGAGAGGGCATTTAACTCACTGGTTTTTTCCTTCCTTTTCTTTTGCTCCAGTTTTTCAGACCATAACTTGTGATTGTCTCTCCTCAGTTCTTCAAGGCGACAAGAGGACAGGTCGTCCATAAAGACCTTCATCCACTGCAGGAAGTATTTCTTGGTATCTGCTGGCTGTGACTGGAGAAAGCCAAGGAATGGCTCCATCAGCTGATTGAGGGGGAAAGCTTGCTCTCGTTGCTTTCTTCTTATTTCTGCCTTCTCAAATTCAATTTGGCTCCAATGGTGCTCAATGCTCCTGTTCCCCTTCTCCTGAAAGCGAGTGAGTTCTTTGTCTTTTTGGCTCCATTGGTGCCACAGTTTTTCTTGAAGAGGCAGGAGCTGGGATTTGATCTCAGACAGCTTCTCTTTCTTCAGAAGGGTCACCAACTCCTTTGCCTTTGCTTTGGCCATCACACACTCGGGTCGATCTTCATCCACTAAGAATCCGTGCTGGCGAGCTTTGTCCAGGCAGGCATCCAGGCTGAAACGTGGGTTGGACCCTTTCAGGAGATTCCTGATTGTTTTGCTCAGCTCGTCCAACATTGCTGCTTCATTTCTGTTCTTGATCCCTATTGTTATGTTTTTGCTGGATTGTCCAGCTGCAACCTCCTCTTGTTCAGTGAGAAGACAAACCAGAGGCCTTTGTGACTGCAACAGGTCACGCAGAAGGTTTTTTCCTCTGTCGTCCATGTGCTCAGACTCAGATACAAGAGCCACGTTCACAGCAGAGATCTCCTGTAAGAACTGCAGCTGTGCTCCGTGATCCCTGGCGTCCCCATGCAGGTTACAGAAAGCCACACAGCACTCAAAGGTGTCATCAGGGCTTCCCCGGGGACAGTACCAGGCGATCTCCACAACACCTGCCATCAGCAAACACTCTCTGGTGCTGCCTTGGCAATGGCGGTGGAAAAAGGTGTCGTGTCTTTGTTTGCTCAGCAGAGCATTGAGGAGCTGAGACTTGGAAGAGGAGGCAGAGGTGCCAATGCGGATGAAGGACACGATGGGTGTCTCTGCCTGATGAATGAGTTTGTTATTGTAACTGCTCATTCTGGGCTGCTGTCCTGACTTCTCCACCTCTTTCCAGCTCCTTTTGATTTGGCTGAGGGCCCAGAGTGGGAACTCGATCTGGGCAGTGCCCGGCTTGGGCACCAGCAGAGGCAGTGCCAGTTGGCAGAAGGCGAGCTTGGTTGCAATAGTCTGTCTCAGGAAGTCATCAGCACAGTGGAAAATTGCCATCTGGAGGTCCATGGGGTGCACGTGGCCCTCCCTGCTTGCACGTTCAGGGGCTGCTTCCTCCAAATAATTTACAAAGTTTTCAAAGGAGTCTGAGGGTTCTTGTTCTTGCTCTGTGGTTTCTGGCACAGGGGCAAGTCCTAGGTTGCTTCCTTCCCTGCAAGTCAGGTACCTCACCCGATAATCCACGGTTAAGAGCTTCTGCAAGAAGTGAAATGGCAGGTCCTGGTCCTTGCTGGGCTGTCTGTCATGCAGAGATGTCTTGCAGATGATGTGGAAATCTCCCATCCCCATTTTTCTTGGATAGTGACTTTCTAGTCCAAGGCGCTTGAGCAAGTGGAGGAACTCTTGGTTTGCAGTGGCTTGATTTGCTTTGGATTTGCTGCCACCTAACATGGTTTTGTACAAGTCACATTCCAGCATCTCCCAGTCTTTGCATTCCCTGTGCTTCTGGAGGAGATTCTTTATCCCTGTGGACCATAACCCTTTCATGTGCCTTTCCATGAAAACTAAACGCTCCCTCTTCTGCTCTGGGGACAGCTCTTTACTTTCAGGTGTCACAGTCAGACCTGTCAGCAGAAGGGAGGCCTCAGCTCTGTCAGCATCTTGCTCCTTCAGATTCACATACTGCTCATGTGCCGCTTGCATTGCCTTTGCCATGTACTGAATTTCTTGATGTTCAAGGAGGCGCTGAAAAGTGCTGCTGTCAACCTGATACCCTGTGCTGGTCACAATTAAGAGCACTAACAGTTGCATGTCCTTCTGAGCCCTTTCCTGGAGAGACTGGAGTAAGGAATGAATTGCATGGATTGTACTCCAGGTGGCTTCTATCTTTGCTTTCTGAATGGCAGTAGCAGAGGTTCCTGGTGTGTAGGTGACAGCATGGATGTGCTCCATCATTTGCTGCAATGTCTCCAGGAGCTGTTCAAGCTCAAAGGCTTTGGGAGTTTTGGGAAGGCTGTGCTCAGTCTGGAAGATCCATTGCATAATGAAGGAAGACTTGGGGAAGTTCTTGACAGAATAGATATGAGGATCCAGGAGGCTCCACAACAGTGCCTTGATAGAGGTGGAGTTTTCTGGAGGTGACTCCTGGCAACTCCTCACAGTGTTCACCAGGACCTCCTGCAGGGCTTTGTCCGACAGGCACACCTCGATCCAGACACTGGGGTTCTTGGTTTTTGCATTCAGATCCTCTTTTAGATCCATCAGCTTGAGCAGTTTCCTTTCATCCACTGTCCCCTCCCAGGTCTTCACAAACTCCATGAAATGTCTGGCCTCTTCCACTGCACTGGCCAGTTCCTCTCTAACAGTGCTGTCAATGCTCTGATTCGTCAGTGCTTTGTACGCAGCCCTGAGGGCGCTGCTCATTCGATAGACGGACTGAAAATCCCTCCTGTGATTGCACAGGATGACATCCCACACTGGGATCAGCTGGAAGCCGCGGTCGATAACGCACCACGTTGAGTTATTGGACACAAGCCCTGTCTTCCACTGAGGAAGAGAATCTGTCTCTGAGGGGCCCCCTGTGTTGACCACGTAGAGCTGAATCGCTGTGTGGGAGCTCTCTCTGGTTTTGCCCTCGACAGAGGCCTTTGAGCTGGATTTGGAAGCAGTTGCGGCCACTCCTCCACTGGCCCCAAAGCCGCCGAGACTGGCTCCGACAAAGCTGTTCAGGGCTTCAGATGTTTGTCGCTTCATCTCTTCCTGGAGCTCGTCTCTGAATCCTTCTGTAGACGCCTTCCACCAGAATATTCCTCCAAAGTGGAGGGGACCCTGGTCGATGTGGGACCCAAACCTGTGGAAGAAGCTCTCCAGCAGTTTGGGCTTGTCTTCTTCCCGAGTGAAGCTCAAAAGCTGCTCCATGTCTTGCAGCTCCCGCAGGGCCGCATCCGAGAGGAGAAGCTGATGCCTTTGGAAGAAGCAGGAGGCCAGAGGGATGTACTGGAACTTGGTGATGCAAAAGTAGCTCCACTCAGAGTTGGACTGCTGGGTGTCCTCTGACTGTGAGGAGC